CTGATGACCATGGCAGAAAGCAAACACCTGTAAATTAGCACCACACAGTTCAAGAAGATGAACCACCGGTGAATCTTAATATCGCCCAACGCATAGACGAAGAACAAGACCTACTTAATCCTGTTTGACAAGCGCCAGGTAGTCTTATACATTCCAGTAGTTGAGTCATTTAACGCTGGCAGTAACCAAAGATTATAACAGGGCCAGGCTAATCCTTGAGAAGAAGATCGAGACAAAGGCACTACGGATAGCAAATTTCAGGGTCCGAAGGTGCAAGAAGGTTTCCACTTAGCTCTTAGCCTTAACGACACCTTCCCCTCGCAATTTCTCGGACAAGCAGAAGTCCAGATGGTACACTTCCTGCTCTCAAAGGCGAGCTTCACCATGTACACCTAATGGGCGAATTCCCACGATTTCTCAACAATTTAGCATAGGCCGAATAAATGCTCAGAGGTGCTTCGACCGGGCAGGAAGCTACACTGCTCTTCTATACTAGAGTCAGTTACACCTAAACACGTTTGGATAGACTTTGCCCGAGGTTCAATAAGGTAATATCTCGATAGCTTTAGCACTGTGGTCTCCTTTTTGAACAGGGGATATTGCAGCCGCCATTGTCCAGTCTTCCCTGCTTTCCCAACAGCCGTAACAGTAAACCAGCATATGCCTTGTTCGCCCATTCCTATTACGATTTCAGGGCAGATTTCATCAATACCAGCAGCTTTTCCACTTTTGGATTTTTTCACAGCTTCTGTGATTTCATCTACAGAAATACCAAGATCGTAACGCGAACATCTATTACAGAGGTTCGCAAGTCAGATGACGTGATCATTATATCGATCATTGACTTCATGCTCACAAGGTTCCCTACACAGGTTATACTGATGCACTGTTCCATACTCCAAGGAGGTGATCGCAAAGAATAGTCCGTTGTTTGCATTAAACCGCAACAACTTCATGCAGTTATTGTTGGTGGCTAGGCTGGTTCTTTCCAATCACACCTTTCAGCGTCTACTCCGACGTGCGCGTTAACTTCGCCCATGTGTCTGAGGGATTCTGTATTCGACACTTTGGATAGAGCACACTGCAATTCCTCAAAGAAGATGTCCTATTGTCCCTCCAACTTGGGCGCATAGATTTGCACCAGGAAGATGAAGATGTTTGGAAGCGCTGCGGTCACGATACTTTCTATGTACCATATATTAAATTACTCAAAAACGAATTCGTCTTAGTCTGTCACTTGAAAGGAAATATTTCAGAGACATCTTCATCTTCCATCGCCGCTTCTCTTTTCGGGTCGCGGAGGCAGACAGGTCAAGTAGAGCTTCCAACGTTCCCGTTCCTGTGCCAGAGTCTGAGCATCGGCAAAAGAAAAATGGAGTCTCGAACCGACTCCTCCCATATGTTTGCACCAGGTTAATCTTGGCTGTCCTCTGGGCCTTCTGCCGGTCGGATTTGCAATGAACACTTGCCTAGCCTTCCTAGGACATCGCAGCTGTGACTTCTC